TGGTACAGGATCGGGAAGGTAGGAAACACTGTCAGAAGTGTCCCTTCCCCGTGACCCGAAACTAAAAGCGGTCGTGAACGATGAGGATGAAGATGAAAATGTACGTATGCACTGAGTGAGTGAATTCCAACGATTTATCAGCATTCTGGCGTAGGCCGAATATTTTGTCAGATGTGCTTCGGCTGGGCCGAAAGCTACACTGGCCTTCTAATGTCTTGGAGGCTATTATTCCCTGGCACCACTTTTTTTGACACCTTCGCGTAGTCTTTGCCCAGGAAGCTCAGCATGGTAATGTCTGACAATTGAAAAATAATTCTCTAGGTCTCCGTACTTGAACATGGTAGTAAAACTCCCGTTCTCCAGATCGCTGGTGTCTTCTCCGTAACCAACGCAGTTTGATAGGCACGTGTAAGCCAGCACATGCCCAGTTCGTCATTTGCGTTGAGCAATTCAAAATGGATTCCGTCAATTACTGCAGGATTTCAACTTTCTAGATTCTCACAGCCTGCGCGACTTTATCTGTAGAAATTATCATTATCATATCCGTTTCCTGTTCCTCTAAAGGCGAGTCTTCTTTCAGTTGCTCGGGGTTGAAGAGTTCCTCAAAGTACTCTATCCGTCGCTGAAAAATGTCCTTATCCTCGGTAAAAGTGTGTTCAGAGTTGTTCTTTAGGACTCTTACACTGCTTTTCTTTTCGCCTGGAAGGCCAGAGGATGGTCTGTCAAAATGCCTCGCTTGCTGTCTAGAGATTTGACTTCAACACCTCACTGAACTTCTTCGGGGAATCAGCTTATGCTTTCGCCATTGTTTTAGCTAGAGCCTTGCATGGATCGACATAGGGAGTTGAAGGCTCATTGCATTAAAGCCATTTTATGAATGCAACCTTCTTCTTTCTCACTGTCATTGGTTCCTCTTTTGTCCGTAAGGTAGTTCTTTTCTGATCTCCTGGCGGCAGGCCAACCCATTTGAATCCGCAGTATAGGGCAGCAACCTGGAGTATGCAGCCCTTAAAAAGCTGCTAATCGGTTTTTAAATCAGTAGATATCACTGGGATTTGTTCAAACCGCCTTGCGATCGTGTCTGCAAGTTTTTCTCTTGTATCCGCTTAAGAAAATGTTTCCCATTTGATTCTTTGGTTGCTTTTGCCCAGAACGTCACATGGTTCTCCATTTCTTACGTTTTGGTGCCAACAACATAGTAATAATTGGTTGATCGCTCTCTGCCTCACTAAACACGAACAACCATTACAAAGCGTCATAAGACGATACGATTGTTTAGTCGATCAACGACTTCTGTGCACAAGCTCCTCTCTACCAGGTACAGTGGTACATAGGGGATAGTCCGTTGTTTGAACAAAATTGGAACAATTTCATGCCACTATTGTTAGGGGTAGGGCCATTCTTTGGAATCACGCCCGTCCTCTTTCCTGAGTTTGCTCCGGTATGAGCGTGAAGATCTCCGCA